GATTAGCAGGAGGCACCTCGTTGCTATGCACCAAATTGTTATTTTCACCATGATGGCCAGACTCGTCGTCAACATTCAAATGGGTAGACTGGGAATTCAACATTTATAAGCTGACCTGAAATTAAGACTTTAAAGAACAAGCATAAAATAGAGTGTGTTATGGAGATTTATATCAAATCACCACTATTATCCTTAGCCCCACGGTGGGTGCCAAACTGTTTACCCTAAAATCGGATAGCAATTAAATTTATATGCGGTTTTAAGGATATGTGGATTGATTCAACACAAATAATCAGGAATACTAAACAAACGAGTTAAAGACATAATGAATGATCAAACCAGTCGTTATGTTACAGCCCAGCCCGAGCCTAGGTTGAACAGTAGTTTGCCCTCGATCGGACACTTGGTTCGAACCTAATTGCGAATGAAGAACAAACAGTTAAGTAAGAACTTTTTCAATAGCTCGAAAGTAGAAAATAAATTTGTATTGCCTTGATTTGTTTATTACAATGTGTCTTGTCAAAGAAAATCTTTCCCCTTATATAGTAGGAGAGATTCATATAGTACAAATCTAAAAAAGGTAAAAATCTTCCTTTCCTATTAGTTACTGATTCGTAACCGATATCGAGCGAGATCCGCGCTGTGATATACAGTTGTTAGCGAATATCACGGCCCTCTATCCGTCGTGTATAGCCGTTTATTGTGCTTTCCAAGGTCTTAGAACTCGTCCCGAGTCTGGGGTGCATCGTTTTGTCAAGCTCGATGGTGTAACGACCCAGGTCGTTTATTTTGAGAATTAACGCCCCGATCCCCTATTAACTGCTTTCCCCGTGTTTATTTCTGCCATTGTGATTTGCCGGGATGATTCGTATTGAGTCTCAGAGTGTTTTGGGACACTTAGTCCCTTAATGAGAGTTTAAGCTTTAGAATTTGGACTGTAGTCGGAATAGTATAAAGACGGCCTCGAAATGGAATTCCGTCTATTCCATTAGCTCCGTTGAGTGATTTCGGGCTTAGGGGCGTGTCCCGATTGTGTTTTGGAGGTCCGTAGCTTATTTAGGCTTGAAATGCCGAAAGTTGAATTTTTGAAGTTTCCAGATCGATAGTGAAATTTTGATATCAGAGTCGAAATCCTATTTCGAAAGTTGGTATAGCTCCGTAGTGTTGAATGAGACTCGTGTGCAAAATTAGGGGTCAATCGGACTTGGTTTGGTTGGTTTTGACATCGGTTGTAGAATTCTTGAGATTTCAAGTTCATTAGGCTTGGATTGGTGGGTGAATCGTGATTTTAGCGTTGTTTGATGTGATTTGAGGGTCGGACTAAGTTCGTATGATGTTTTAGGATTGGTCGGCATGTTTGGTTGAGGTCCTGGGGCCTCAGGTGAGCTTCGGATGCTTAACGAAAGTTGAATTGGACTTAGGAAATTGCTGAACATGCTGGACCTCTTGGTCTCGCACCTGCGGAGCCGCAGAAATGGGTTGGTAACCGTAGAAGCGAGTTTTGGCCTTGTGCTTCAGGGACCGCAACTGCAGTTGGGAAATCGTAGATGCGGCCCCAGCCCGGTTAGGTGGATTTCGCACCTGTAACGCTTTTCCCGCAGGTGCGGGACCGCAGATGCGGCACCATGACCGCAGATGCGGTAATCGCTGGGCAGAAATATGAAAATTCGAGGGTTTGAAGTTCATAACATCAAATTCGATTTTGAGCTCGAGAGAAGGCTATTTTGTGAGATTTTTGAAGAGAAAATTAGTGGGTAATGATTCCTAACTCCTTTTTGATTATATTCCATTAATCTAAGCTTAATTTCATCATTTAATTTCGGATTTGGGGTGAAAAATTGGGAAAATTTGAGAAAAGTTCTTAGGCCGAATTTTGGTATTTTGATCGAGATTTTGGTATCAGATTTGAGTGATTTTGGTATGGTTAGACTCGTGAGGAATGTGTGTTCATAATTTGTGACTTTTACCCGATTCCGAGACGTGGACCCCTGGAGGATTTTTGGGCATTTTTTTATTTTCTTGCCTTAGCTTCGATTCCTTTAGCTAAACTCGTTGTTTGTAGTTATATTTACATTATGAAATTGATTTGATTAGATTTGGGCCACTCGGAGTTGGATATTCGTGGCAAGAGCGTGATTTCGGATTGATTGAGCTTGGTTCGAGGTAAATGGCTTGCCTAACCTTGTGTGGGGGAACTCCCCTTAGGATTTTGATACTGTTGTTATATGAATGTCGTGTACGTGAGGTGACAAGTACGTACACGTGCTAATTTTTGAAAACCCCCGTTTTCATTAAGTAAATATCAGCCTTTTCTTTTAATTGAGCAATACTTGTACTTTAAGTTTCTTGTTTAGCTTAGGAAAGCATGATTACATGACTTAACTATCTTATCTGCTTAACTGCTTATTTGGATTCGGTGTAGCATGTTTAGAGTAGAATTTCTTGTTCTCTTGGTACGAACTTGAATAGAACTCTAGATTTTCTCTCTTGAGATTGTTGTGTGTTTACTTTGGGACTACCGGACGGTATCCCGGGAGATCCCCCTGCACATTTATATTTGGGACTATGGGACGATATGCCGGAAGATCCCCTGTACTGGTTATTTACTTTTGGACTACGAGAAGGTATCTCGGGAGATCCTCGGCACATTTATGTTTGGACTACGGGACATTATCCTGGGAGATCCTCTGTTGTTATCACTACTTACTGAGTTATTTCCTTTCTAAGATCTCATCTTTATTTGACTGTTAGCATCTTTAATTATATTGTCACGTTCTATACTGTTTTACGTTATTATATATTTATATAACCAGTAGGGCCCTGACCTTCCTCGTTACTACTCGACCGAGGTTAGGCTTGACACTTACTGGGTACCGCTGTGGTGTACTCATGCCCTTTCCTACACATATTTTTCGTGTGCAATCTACTCAGCCATACTATCAGTGAGGCGAGGCGATTTCAGAGACTTCGAGGTATATCTGCCACGTCCGCAGACCTAGAAGTCCTTCTCTATTCTCCCTTTAGTCATAGACTTCTTGTAATTACTTTTGTTTAGACTTCTGGAATTAGAACATTATGTAATTCTTTAGCTTGTGATTCATGAGATTCCAGTTTTGGGAGTGTTTTGCTCAGTTTGAGAGAGTGATATTGTATATGCCGAGCGGCATCTTAAACTTCTTTATTATGTTTACCCGTAAATTTGCTAGTTTTGTATTTTATTTCCTTTCTCCGCAAAACATAGGCTCACCTAGTCGTAGAGACTTGGTGCCGTCACGACAGTTCACGGAGGGAGAACTTGGGTCGTGACAGATGGCGAGCATGTCGTTCACTTTTCAGGGGCCTCGATACAAAGGGTTCCCAGATTCGATTCCGATCTCGTGTGTTCATGCCCTCATTCCATTTTATTCACGGAAAATGGGGTAGTGTGTTATCCCCAATTTTATCCGTATACACACATACCAATTATTCGTTAGTTTTATGTCATTTATGTAGTTAAATTTGGGTATCCTATTCCTAATCATGCAGAAATTAATAATTATACTTAAGATAGAAAAGTACGTCTATAAGGATTTAATACATTGGTGATCGTAATATGGATTTAAGTTGTATATTATTCGTATTCGTTTTATAATATCAGTAAATTGTAGCCTGTAATAGTTATTAGGTAATATTTTTAATATAATTACTATGTTTCTACACAATGCGTATAACTTATACACAATATGGTAGTAATATAAAGGACACAGTGAAGTATGTTGATAGTATCATTTTTTAATAAAATATATAATAAAGTATTCTCCTTAAATTTTATTCAATCAAACTTACTATGAATTGATCTATAAAGAAATTATTAAGATAGAAAAATCACCATATTTGTTTTATTTAACTTTGAACATCTCTTTCAGCCCTTCTTGTTTTTTTCCTTCTTTAAATAAGCTCTTGTTTTTCTTATTAGGTGACAATAGTTATCTTTTTGAAGCTACGATAGAGAGTTATTTTATTTTACAAAAAAAAAAAAAGAAGAATATTAAATGGTGATGGTAAATAAGTTTCTTGGATAGTAAATATTTATTTTAGACTAATAATAATTTTTTCTGGTAATGTCAGATTCTCAAGCAAGCTTCTTCTAAGCTAATACTTCAAAACATACTTAAATTTTTTCTATCATAAATCTCCAGGGAGTGTATTCTTGTTGAAACTGAAAAAGAAGCATAATGGCCTGTGAAATTAAAGTGATAAAAATTGTGAAACCAAAATAAACTCTAGGTTGAACATATTTTTTTTGGTAATTAAACTTCCTATTACCACGTAAAATATTTACAAGTACAAACATTCCTAAGTTTGGATTGACAGCCCCAAACTCAGTAAACTCTCATCCTATCTTTCATCATTCCTTCTACAGCATTTATTTTCTAAAATTGCTCAAGAATCACTTATGTATTACCAAACTAATCTAAAAAGAAAGTTCCATATTTCAATTAGAACTATAGCAGGGTAAAACTGTCTATTTAAAATGAGTAAGTTGTGAAAAATTGCGAAGCCTCGTAGCATTTTCGGAAGTCTACAATTCAATTCAACACTTTCTGATCTCAAACATATGAAACTTTAAACTGACCTAAAGAAATAGCAAACTAAACTTAAGTCCATCAAGTTGAAATTTTTGTCGCAATAATGACACAAGCTTTTATAAATAAATTAAAGTAATAGGATTTATTTTGTAATATATATGGCTATTGAACTTCTTTAAATAATATTATCCAGTTAACCCAAAAATAAAAAAATAAAATAATAGGCTTTAAAATAATTGGGAAATCTGGATCAACAGACCCCAGACGCCAACAATGAATCAAAAGGCTACTGGTTGGTTGACTAGCTAGCCAGTATAAAGTCAAGTAAGGCAACTAGGAAATGGTTAGTTGTTTAAATTATATTTACATTGAAATATTAATTAGAGAATTGGCTGCGCTTTCTCACCACTATATTTACTTCTCCCTTCTCTTCAATTTAGATCATCAGCGCCTTTCAACAATTCAGAGTTCCTTTCCTTGTTCCTTAATAGAACAAACAAATACTCTTACCTTATATTAGCAATGGCCTCAGCAGCAGTTGGCAACTACGAAGAAGAAATCGTTCGTCCCGTCGCCGACTTCTCCCCTAGTCTCTGGGGTGATCACTTCCTTTCATTCTCCATTGACAATCAGGTAAATAATTAACTTCTTTCTATATAGTTTCTTCTTGCAAGCATGGTTAGTTTCTTCTTTATGTTTATTGAACAACATTAATTTTGCTAATTTCAGTTTACATTCTTTCAACTTTAATGTCCATTACATATAGGTTGCGCAAAAGTATGCTCAAGAGATTGAACCATTGAAGGAACAGACAAGAAGTATGTTGTTAGCAACCGGAAGAAAATTGGTTGACACATTGAATTTGATAGACACCATTGAACGCCTTGGCATATCTTATCACTTTGAGAAAGAAATTGATGAGATTTTGGATCAAATTTACAACCAAAACTCAAACAGCAATGATTTGTTCACTTCTGCACTTCTTTTTCGGTTGCTCAGGCAACATGGTTTCAACATCTCTCCTGGTAAGTTCATCATGAAGCACACCTTTAATATTGTTGTTAAAATTATTATCCATTTATTGAAAGAAGGTTAATTAATCTTGAGCTTTCTTTCTTGAAATACCAGAAATTTTCAGCAAATTCCAAGACGAAAATGGCAAATTCAAGGAATCACTTGCTAGTGATGTGGTAGGATTATTGAACTTGTATGAAGCTTCACATGTAAGGACTCATGCTGACGATATCTTAGAAGCCGCACTTGCTTTCTCCACTATCCATCTTGAATCTGCAGCTCCACATTTGAAATCTCCACTTAGGGAGCAAGTGGCACATGCTCTTGAGCAATGTTTGCACAAGGGCGTTCCTAGAGTTGAGACCCGATTCTTCATCTCATCAATATATGAGAAGGAACAATCGAAAAATAATGTGTTACTTCGATTTGCTATTTTGGATTTCAACTTGCTCCAGATGTTGCACAAACAAGAACTTGCTGAAGTATCAAGGTGCGATAAATAAGAACAATGAACCCTTTTTGATTGATTATATCTCAAGTACTGATGTTAATTTGTTATGCTGCAGGTGGTGGAAAGATTTGGATTTCGTAACAACACTTCCATATGCTAGAGATCGAGTAGTTGAATGCTACTTTTGGGCATTAGGAGTTTATTTTGAGCCTCAATACTCTCAAGCTCGTGTCATGCTCGTTAAGACCATATCAATGATTTCGATTGTCGATGACACCTTTGATGCTTATGGTACAGTTAAAGAACTTGAGACATACACAGATGCCATACAAAGGTATGAACTTCATAAATTCACTTATTCAAATACTCCTTAATAGTGAATGTCATTGTGAAAATATAAAGACGAACTTCTACTCATTATAGTTGTGCTCTTTCAAAATGCATGAGTTCATACATTAATTTTGTCATCTTGCAGATGGGATATCAATGAAATTGATCGGCTTCCTGATTACATGAAAATCAGTTATAAAGCTATTCTTGATCTTTACAAGGATTATGAAAAGGAATTGTCTAGTGCTGGAAGATCTCATATTGTGTGTCATGCAATAGAAAGAGTATGTTTGAGCAACTTAACTATCAATATACATTTTCTCCTTAATCCATTTCTCACTTTGTTTTACCTTGTGTAAGTCTTTTAGTGATCAGAAACTTGATATAATTCAATCAAAAATTTCTAACACTTGAACATATATGTTTTGTATTCACAGATGAAAGAAGTAGTTAGAAACTATAATGTCGAGTCAACATGGTTTATTGAAGGATATATGCCACCTGTTTCTGAATACCTAAGCAATGCATTGGCTACTACTACATATTACTACCTTGCGACAACATCATATTTGGGTATGAAGTCTGCGACAGAGCAGGATTTTGAGTGGTTGTCAAAGAACCCTAAAATTCTTGAAGCTAGTGTGATTATATGCCGAGTTATTGATGATACAGCAACGTACGAGGTATGAGTTGTGTCTCACATTTTTTTATCATTATATGAGATTTGGACAAACTATAAGTTTTGCGGTGTCAATTGAGGCTTATAAAAGCTAACCCTTAATCTATCTTCCTTTACAGGTTGAGAAAAGCAGAGGACAAATTGCAACAGGGATTGAGTGTTGCATGAGAGATTATGGTGTATCAACAAAAGAGGCAATGGATAAATTCCAACAAATGGCTGAGACAGCATGGAAGGATCTTAATGAAGGACTTCTTAGGCCAACTCCAGTATCTGCAGAGCTTTTAACTCCTATTCTCAATCTTGCTCGTATTGTTGAGGTTACATATATACACAATCTAGATGGATATACTCATCCGGAGAAAGTCTTAAAACCTCACATTATTGGCCTACTTGTGGACTCCATCGAAATTTGAGCTGCCAATTGTTGCTCATCTTAAGGAAACTACATTCTTCTTTGTTGAGAAAGTAGTTATATAAGTTTAATTTTTTCGTTTTATTGTATAATTAAGTTGTTGGGGAGCTGCTTTTGCGGTTGTGCAGTGCACTTCCTAACTAGGACCTCCTTAAGATCCTTGTAAGAAATAATCTAAATCCTTTTATGTAACAATAAGTTAAAGTTATGAAGCTTGTTATGGGAGTCTTACTTACCTTATAAATAGAGTCTCTTGTAACCTATTTTTCTGTGTATGAAGTAATCTGAGCCTTTTCCACGTCCTTGCTTTAGTATCTTTTTAATCGTACTTGGTCTCACAAAGATTGGTTTTTGGCACTTTTGTTTTCCATTGTAGCGCATGTATAGGTGAATCTGGAATATATAGCGTTGACATAATTGTGCTACATTATGCGCTATGTGTTGGCATACAATAGCTATTATTGTATTTATGTTATCCCGTGAATGCCATCACTGATTTTCCTCTTGAAAATAAACCACTAGTCCGTCTTAAATACTCGTTTAATTCTGTGTATACTGGAGGGAACCTGTAGGAGGTCGAAAAGCCATAGTGCACAAGTGAATTAATGCAACAACTTAGTATCTTATTTTTTTTTCGCTTCTTTTACTTGAGGACCGCAAAAAAGTGGTTTCTAATCAAGGCATGTAGCTTTTTTCTGTCCTTGGTCAAATCTTTTGTCTTCCTTGTAACATAAAATAGACCGGCATAATAAAGTAGAAAAATTTTCTGAAGCAGTGGGAGAAATATTCTTAAAGGAGCTTCTTCGATATTTTGTTATCTTTTTTAAGATAGAAAGCCGAATCACTAATTAAAAAAGAAATTTTCTTTCAGTATGTTGACAACGTCAAAACAAAAAAGAATTAGCGGGCTGAAGTTGTTCTGATTGCCCTATCTTTTTTTGAACCGAATACCTTCCTATGTGCAAAGTAGAACATTGTAATTTATATTTGTCTGAGCATGAGAATCAATTTGCGTATTTGCAATGTCAGTTTTCTCCATTAATTGGTCTCAGCTTGCAAAAGTACTCTTGTATTAATGCTGTTTGTAAGAGGCAGTGCAATTTTGGAATTTTTGTTTGAACATATATGGTTTTCTGAAAAGATTAGGAAATGATTGAAAAAGGGATAATGCATAAAATCTTCTCCGACCTATGATTATATTATCAATTACACGCCTTTTCTTTTCGAGGGTCCTATTACCCCCCTGAACTATTTTAAAGTAAAATTATTTACCCCTTAAAAAAATACAACCAGATGCGTGGAAAGTGGTGAAATACACGCGCCTAAAATGTGTATTTTCTTACTTTAAAACTTTTTTTCATCGTTTTATCCTTCCTTATTTTCCTATTTGCAGACCTTCATTACCATATTCGGCCAAAAGGCAAAAGCCTCATTTGATGGGTTTTATATAATACTTGTTTGATATTGTCAAATCTGGCCGGAGAACAAAACTCCGACGAAGACCCTTGCTCCGGCGAAACTCCAATGTTATTGACCGTTTTAACTATTCGTAGGTTACTGAATCATGCCCGTTGCTCCCTCTAGTTGTAGCTCTGTTTCTTTTATTTAACATATCTACTTTTGATTTCGGGCTTGATTTTGCGTTGTATTGGATTTTTCGCCCCGACGTTTCGCCGTTGAAACGATGTCCCCCTTGTTCGTGCGAGAAGAAGTTCAGAAGAACGAGACTAATTAATTAGATATAATTAATAATGTAATGTCCAATCAAAAGATGACACTTATACATGTTAATCAATGTTAAAATTACTTTTGTAACTTCACTTGCCCTTAAGAGAGTGTGCACACTCTCTATGCCACGTCAACACTTAAGGTGGTGTTTATTACATTTTAAAATAGTTCAGGGGGGTAATAGGACCCCCGGAAAAAAAAGGTGTGTAGTTGGTAATATGGTCATAGGTCGGGGAGGATTTTATGCATTATCCCGACCGAAAAACATTCTTTTCACTTGCTCTTTTTATGTCATCTGTGGCACTTGCATTTTGTAATCGCATTTTTTTCTATGTAGCAAACTCATTATTTTTCAAGATATCATTCATTTGTAAACTTTGTGTGCCGTTCAGTGTTTTATAAGTAATATTTTATTACCTTTCACTCATTTACACTTCAACCACCGGTTACTAAGTCAATTTACTGGTTCCATGTCCAGATTATCCAATTCTATATTTAAAGTGCTATTCAACCAAATTCAGAACTGGAGAATCAGACCGGTGTAATAACATCTAATTAATTAAGTTTTACTAGTTAGAGTGGGGAACCATTAGCTTAGAACTTGTCACGACCCAAAACCCAATTAGCCGCGATGACACCTAATTTCACTCGCTAGGTAAGCCAAATAACAACAATCCGATTCAATTAATATTCAACTAACTCTAATACACCCCCAATGACTGATAGTACTAATCATGAGCTTCTAATATTCAAAATTTACAAAGCTGGTGTGAAATAAATACATCATCTGTATGAAAAAATGAACAGATTTTTAAATCTAAAGTTACCAAGATCAAGAGGCAACTATGACCGGAATGCAGGTACATCTCCAATGCCAGCTCCCGCCATACACAACAACATCAACATCAACATCCAAAAGTTGCAAGCAAGGTGTAGAAGTGTAGTATGAGTACAACCGACCCCATGTACACAATAAGTAACAAACCTAACCTTAGGTTGAAAGTAGTGACGAGCTTGTACAAAGGTCAGAGTCCATTCCAGTAGCTAGCAACAATCCATAACAATATAAGTAAAGCAGCACAGGTAATAACTCAATGATAAAATGCTCAGCTCGTTTGGTACAGGATGCCTTGGATAAGGTTAAGATCATTTAGGATAGACTTCGTACAGCTCAGTCCGGGCAGAAGTGTTATGCCGACCGTAAGGTTCGTGATATGGCATTCATGATCGGAGAGAGAGTGTTGCTTCCGGTGTCGCCCATGAAGTGTGTAATGAGGTTTGGAAAGAAGGGCAAGCTAAGCCCTAAGTATATCGGGCCTTTTGAGATCCTTGAGCGAGTGGGAGAGGTGGCCTACAGACTTGCGTTGCCACCAGGCTTATCTGCGGTACATCCTGTATTCCATGTGTCCATGCTTCGGAAGTATCACGACGATCCATCCCACGTGTTAGATTTCAGCACTGTCCAGTTGGACAAGGATTTGACCTACGAGGAGGAGCCGGTAGCTATTCCAGACTGGCTGGTTCGTCAGTGAAAGAGTTATCCTTCGGTTTAAGTGCAGTGGAGAGGTCAGCCTGTTGAGGCAGCTACCTGGGAGTCTGAGTCCGATATGCGGAGCAGATACCCCACCTTTTCACCAGCTCAGGTACTTTTCTATGTCTGTTCGAGGATGAACGGTTGTTTTAGAGGTGGAGAATGTGATGACCAAAAGGTCATCTTATGTTTTAGAACTCGAATACATAAATCGAGGCCTTCAAAACCTCATTTTATTCCTCCTCAATTTGTGTGCGCAGTCTGAGCGTGTTTCCGGAAAGCTTTTATGTTGAAAGTTGATAAAAATAATAATTTTTGCTTTTAGGAGTTGATTTAGTTGACTTCGGTCAACGTTTTAAGTAAACGGACCCGAACTCATATTTTGACAGTTTCGGTGGGTCCGTATCAAAATATAGGACCTGGGCATTTGTCCGGAATCAAATTCCAAGGTCCCTAGCTCGACAAATGGATTTTCGATGAAAATTGAAAGACCGAAAATCTAATGGTTTTAAGAATTCGATTAATGATTGATCTTGTTGGAATCGGGCCCGTATTTTGATTCCGGAGCCCGGTACATAACTGATTTGACGTGATTCAGACGTCCAATTGTGAATATAGGAATTTCAAAGTGTTCTTAAGAATTTCATGTGTTTTGTTGCTAAATCGTAGTTCTAGGTGTTATTTTGGCGATTTGATCGCATGAGCAAGTTCGTTTGATGTTTTAAGACTTGCGTGCATGTTTGGTTTGGAGCCTCGAGGGCTCGACTGAGTTTCGGATAGGCTACAGAGTGATTTGAACTTAAGAAATTTTGCTGGTCTGCTTCAGGTCCGCAGACTTCGCAATTGCAAGGCATGTCTCTCAAATGCGAGCCTCGCATTTGCGAAGAAAGTTTGCATTTGCGAGCATTGGGGCTGGGAGGGGACCTTCGCAATTGCGAAGCTCATGATCGCAATTGCGATCAGCAATGGCCGTATTTGCGAACAGTTGTTCGCATTTGCGATGTTAGCAGGACCAGGACAGTCTTCGCATTTGCGAAAGGAAGTTCGAATTTGCGAACCCCTGATCGCAAATGCGATACCTGTAATTGGTCAAAATGATTTTGGACGGAATTTTTCATTATTCAATTTTTCAAAACCTAAAATACAAAAATTTTCCAAAGACTCCTTCCTCCCCAAGTCATCGGTAAGTGTTCATTTTACAAGATTTTAACCTAGAATCTAAAGTTTTCATGGTGGAATTGGGAAGTTTTGGGTAGAAATTAGGGATTTTGAAATTTGAGGATTTAGACCTAAAATTGAGGTCGGATTCCAAAATCAATTATATATCTGGGCTCGGGGGTGAATGGGTAATCAGGTTTTGGTCCGAATTTCGGGTTTGGACCAAGCGGGCCCGGGTGTTGACTTTTATTGACTTTTTTCACAAATGGCCTAAATTGAATGTCTTGCAATCGTGGATAGTTCCTAAGGCTTAAATTGAATTGTTTGGTTGGTGAATTGATAGATTCTATTGGTCCGGAGGCTTGTGTCAAGAGAAAAGCGGTGGTGGAGCTTTGAGTTGGCCGTTAGAGCGCGGTAAATGTTGTGTCTAACTTTGACTCGAGGGATTAGGGATCCCGACTTAATTGCTATGTGAAAATCCATTTGTGTGGCGTATAGGTGAGGTGACGAGTACCTATGCGCCGCCAATTTATTTGATTTGCCTGTTTTCTTCCCGTTCTTAATATATTGTTTCCTGCCTTAACCGCTATATGTTTAACCGGTATTTCCATGCTTCATTGCTACTTGTCAATCACTGTTTTTCATTGTTGAAGGTATTAGCTATCCCATAGTTTCATTGTCTCATATTATTGGCTTAAGTTGGTTTATCGCTGTTTTATGGTATATTTTGGATTGGTTTCGCTGAGTAGTATTATTTGAGTGAAGTTTCATAATTGTACAACTTTCCGTTTGCTTTGGCTTGAGGTTTACATATTGTGGAGAGTTTGAGCTAAATTGTGAAATTCATGTTCTCATTGTGTGCTTGGTACTGATATGGTGGG